GAGGCCGGGGAGGAGCAGCGGGGGGCGGGGGCGGAGAGGCCGGGGAGGAGCAGCGGGGGCGAGATGAGGCGAAGGGGCAGGAGGAGAAGCCGAGGTGGCGGAGAGCCGAGGGTTGGGAGTTGGAGAGCAGCGGCTGCGAGGAGCGCTTGGCGGTTCTGTGGCTCCGCGGGACGGCCGGGCGTCTGCGCGGCTCTCCCGAGCCGGCGTGCGGCTGCAGCTTCCCGCCTGACCGGCTTCCCTGCGAGGCAGGTGGGTCCTGGGCCCTGGGGACGGCGCCGAGCCGTCGGAGCGCGGACTCCGGGCCCTCCCGCCTCAGGTCACGGCTGCATAGGGCGGCTCTGAGGGCAAGCTACCCGGACATTGCCGCCACTGAGCCCTGGAGGTGGGGAGGCAGGGTGACCAATTCAGGCCTGCAGCCCAGATCCCCACCTCTGGCTTCCAGAAATGGAAAACGCTGTGGGTTGGGAGCGAGAGCCCTTAGTTCTAGTCTTACCTGTGCCAGTGATTCCCTGCGTGACTTTGGGCGAGTTCCGTCCCTCTCTGGGCCTCCATTTATCCACCTGCAGAGTGAGGTGGTCTTTGGATGGGTCTCTCTAAGGTCCCGACAGACTTAAATTTATTTCCTTGACGAACTTCCTGTAAGGCTTGACCCCACATTCGCCAGCCAAGTCCGTCCCTCGGCAACAACTTGGCTGCACTCTGAACTCTGGCCCCTCAGGTTTCGTCTGGAAGCCTGGGGTTGTCTGGAATCAACTCTGGGGAAAGAAGCTGCTCCCAGCACGTGGACAAACAGGCTGAGGAATTTGCTGTTCATTGGGTGAGTAATCCTTTCGTTGGCTCTTCACCCAGGCAGACGTTATTACCTCCAGTAAAGATGAAGCTAGGGCTCAGAGAGGCTTGGAGATACGTAGGACCAGGCTGCTCTGTCCTGCCTTTTTCCCTGTGCTGCACAGGTACACCAAATCAGATTTTTTTTAAATCCAAGTATATCTGAGCATGATGCAGTGGAAGGGAGTACTGGCCAGAGAGTCTGGAAGTTTGGGTTTTAGTCCTAGCTGTGCCACTGACTCATCTTAGGTGAATATCAGCCCCTTTCTGGTTTCAGTCTTCCTTCATAGACAGTCAGAGGTTTAAAATGGTCAGATGGTTTGCAAGGACTCTCTGTCTTTGGCATTGTTAACGATAGTAATAGCAATCATAATTATTGTTTCCTTTCCTTGACCTATAAGGCCCCACCTGAGCAGCCCCTGTCTACCCAAAGCACCAGACTCCTTGCCCTGCCTCAGGTCCTTTGCACTGGCTGTTTTCAGTGCAAGGAACACTTACCCACCTCCGTTCCCCACATAGTCATTCTTCAGATCTCCACTGAAACTCCACTTGCTTAGCAAGTTCCCTGATGACAAAGACTAGATGGGGGTCCCTGGATTTATATCCTCATGGTACATGCTGCCTTCCTCATGCTTAGTGTTTGTATAGTTCTCTGTCTCATATCTGTACCCGCTATTCTTTAATGCCTGTAAATGCCACAAGAGCTGGAAATCTGCCCTGTTCCCTAGCACCTAGCACATAATAGATGCTCAGAAATTTGTTGTGGAATGAACGGGTGATCTCATTTAGTCGAGCAATCTTGTAAGGGTGGGTCATTGTGCTCCTCTTACGTGAGACAGGGACACAATGAGAGAGTGACATTCCTAGGGTCACACAGAGAGTGGGCAGCACCAGCATTTTAACCCACTCGGTCTCTGACTCCAAGGCCTGACCTTCCACCTCACCTGCCGTCTCATTCCAGGACTGTCTGCTGTGAAGACGTTACCCAAGTGCCAGCAAATCTGACCCAGGAGGCCTAGAAAGAGCAGACCTTTTGGTTGTGGAGGGGTGGTCTTGTCCAGCTCAGTTTTCCTTCAACACCTGGGACCTGAGACAGACGTGGGGTGGACTTGGCCCCCTCCTGCAGACCCATGGCGCACCGGCTACAGATACGACTGCTGACGTGGGACGTGAAGGACACACTGCTCAGCCTCCGCCGCCCGGTGGGGGAGGAATATGCCACCATAGCCCGGGCCCATGGGCTGGAGGTAGAGGCCGCGGCCCTGGGTAAAGCCTTTGGGCAGGCATACAGGGCTCAGAGCCACAGCTTCCCCAACTATGGCCTGAGCCACGGCCTCACCTCCCGCCGTTGGTGGCTGGATGTGGTCCTGCAGACCTTCCACCTAGCAGGTGTTCGGGATGCCCAGGCTATGGCCCCCATCGCTGACCAGCTATACAAGGACTTCAGCAGCCCCTGCAACTGGCAGGTGTTGGAGGGGGCTGAGTCCACCCTGACGGGTTGCCGGAAACGAGGTCTGAGGCTGGCAGTGGTCTCCAACTTTGACCGGCGACTAGAGGACATCCTGGTGGGTCTTGGCCTGCGGGAACACTTCGACTTTGTGCTGACCTCTGAGGCTGCCGGCTGGCCCAAGCCGGACTCCCGAATTTTCCACGAGGCCTTGCGGCTTGCTCAGGTGGAACCGGCCATAGCAGCCCATATTGGGGACAGTTACCACTGTGATTACAAGGGGGCACGAGCTGTAGGCATGCACAGCTTCCTGGTGGCTGGCCCGGGGCCTTTGGACCCTGCGATCATGGATTCTGTACCCCAAGAACACATCCTCCCCTCACTGTCCCACCTGCTGCCGGCCCTTGTCCGCCTGGAGGGCTCCCTTCCAGGGCTTTGAGTCTGGGGAGGGAAGTGGCTACACCCAACACACACTGGAGACGGGGAGCCCTTTCCTTCCTGAGATCTGGCCTTGCCCTTCTCCCTGGAGCCTCCGTAACACATTCTGACTATAAAGCAGTGAGTGGGGCTTTCAGCCCTGCCCCAACCAGCTCCTGATCGCCTAATTGGTTCATTCATCACAGCTGTGTTCCTCTTCCGCCTCACCTCCAAGAGGACTCAGTGAAGGCCCAACTAGCTTCAAAACCAGGCTCTTGCAAACTTTGTCTTAGCAGCAGGGCCTTTTGTCATGGAAGATCTTACATGGAACCCCAACATGCAAAACAGGAATAAACGAGAAACTGCTAGCGTTGAAGCAGAGGTTCTAGAGCCCCTCGGTCAGGCCCTGAAGCCTCTACACTCATCTCCTGGAAGCCTGAGGTCAGAGGAGCTTACTTTGGGAATCAGCATCCTAAGCTGTGTAGGGACATATTCCCAAGGACCATATAAAGAGATTGTAGACAAGGAACACGTAATTACAGCCCTGAGCAGAAACTTGATTTATGTCTGCTGTGTGTTAGGTACTCTGCTAAGGCCTTTCTATGCATATATAACCCTCAAGCTACTTAGTGGGCCTAGATAGTGTGACCTGCACTGTACAAATGAGGAAAGGGAGTCAGACGTTAAGTGGCCCGCCTGAGGTCACAGCTAGTACATGAGGGAGCCGGGGTGCCAGTTTAGGCATGTCTGACTCCAAAGCCCACTGGGGTGACCGCTGGATTGCAAGAAGGAAGGGGTCCATGTCACAAGACGCACAGTGGAGATCCTGGGAGAACAGGGAAGGTATCCTAAAGGATGTCAGTCTTGACAGGCACCCCAGTCATAGGGGTTAGCGTGGGAGCAGGAAAGGACAGGGAACAGGCTGGAGCTCTAAGTGGCCGGGGTGTAGGGACCATGGGGGGAGTCACTGGAGATTGAAGTAGTAGGCTGGTTTTTAAAATTCCATGTCTTCCTGCCTCTCCCTGCTGTACACACCTCTCTACTTGGTGTTGACTGGACACCTCTTGCCTTGCCATAAAACCACAGGAGGGAAGCACATTGGCAGGCACATACAGTGTATGCTGTGGTGCCAACAGCCAGGGAGGTCTCTGGTGTGGACCCTGAGATGGGGAGTGGCATTTAGATGAGCAGAGGGATAAGGGGCATTCCTGGCAGCAGGTACATGAGCCGAGGACTGAAGGCTGCTGGGGGAGTTAGACTGGTGGTTTGAGGAGCACGGCATGGGGCCTTCAGGTGCCAAATACAAGAGCTTTACTTTGACCCAGGTGTTTAGGCAGAGGCTGCACCCAGGTAAGGGCAGGGGAGCTCTTCTCAGACTCTTCTGGGTCTGTCTGCCTTGGGCTTGGTGCCAAGGCCAGGCAACCAAAGATTGATTCCCAAGTGTCAGGCAGTGAGGATACGGGTCATGAGCTGTGGTCTCAGAGCTGAGCTGCAAGGGCCTCAGAAATCATCTCAACCAAAACAGTTGCCAATAGGTCTGTAGACTGGATTTGATTCACCTAGGGATTCAAGTAAATTAATGAGCAAACTTAAGAGTGAGGAGGGCTCTAGCCCCGCCTCTTTGGGCCCAGGAGCCTGAAGTTGTAGGGAAGGTTGCCTTTTAACTGTGCTCCCAGATGAAATAAAAATATGAGGACCACTGTTCTAGTGTGACCTCCTTAGACAACAGGAAGGGACCTGCCCTTGGTCCCAACAAGGCAGGGCACAGAACGCCGTCTCCAGGCTCCTTCAGCTATGGATGCTGAGCTGCCACCCACTTATTTCTGGGACTGTGGAGAAGAGTGAGGAAGACATCAGTTTCCCAGCAAATGCACCTCTAAGATCTGAGCTGGCACTTGGGGGATTTGCCCAATTACCAACAAAGGATATGGAAGAAACTGTTCAATCTTTTAAAACCTTTAATAATGTACGTACATGTTCTCTAAGGCTGGCCCTCTTACTCCCTCAGCTCTTGCTGGCTTGAAGCCCTTGCCCCAGGTCTCCACATATCAGAGGGGGCCAGTAGGTGGGGACATTTGTCAGCAGCAGTCAGGAGAAACATTTGTCCTTGTTGTCGCATGGGCACCGGCTGCAGCTCAGCTGCCAAGTCGGAGGCCGAGCTGCCGGTGGGTGTGTTGCAGTCAGGTTACCTGGAGATAGGACCTCCTTGGTCTTCCGAGTGGCCAGGCAGAAACTGGGGGAAGAACACAGCCCCCCAGGCCAGAGTCCTCTGGCCAGGAGCAGCCTGGCAGGAGTTCTGAATCCCTTCCAGATTGTCCTTGTGTGCTAGAAAAATATTCTTTTCTCCTTGTGCTTTGTCATGAGAAGGATCGAGAAGCACTGAATTAAGAGGATGAAAGAGCTGCAGCCACAGGCTGTTCTGCCAGAGCCTCGTTTCTACATGCTCAAAGCTGGGGGGCAGGGGGCTGAAAGGCAGTGTTTCTCCAGAAGAGTCTACCACAGGCACCTAGTCACCTGTCCATCCATCAACCTATCTATCCATGCATCCATCCATCCATCCTCTCACTTGCCGGATATTTATTGCACACTCACTATGCACCAGGCACCATGCTGGACGCTGGAGATGAGGTGGTGGACAAGACACCCTCAGAGGGGCAGATGCCTGGTGGGTTTGGGAGATGAAGGCCCGGGAAGCAGCAGGTTCCCCATAGATACCCAGCATTTAAGGGCTGCACCCAGCTCTGAAACACCCCCACTCCTCCCAAAGCTGCCCATCGGGCATAGGCAACATTTGGGAAAAGGACACTGGGTAGACATGTGGCCTGGAAGGGAGGTGGGGAGGTAGACGTGGCCTCCCCGTGGCCAGAGGTCAGTGAACGATGGAAATGGTCTGGTCGGCCACTGCGAAGACTGGGAAGAGGGGCCCAGGGAAGGCCGCGCGGTGGGTGTGGAGCACCGTGCCCGAGGCTGGCTCGTAGAAGAGCAGCTCCTGTGCCTGCAAGTCCAGCAGGATGCCCAGCTGGGCCGGACAACGCAGCAGCCTCAGTGGCTCATGCTGCCCGTCGTGCGAGAAACAGAACTCTTGGTCATAGCGGGAGAAGACCCAGGAGAAGGCATTGTGGCCCAGACGAGAGTTACTGCCAGAACCCTTTCGAGGCAGCTGGCCTAAAGCTACGCCCACCTTGTAGGCACAGCTGTTCTGGACGTTCACCATCCAAGCATGCAGCCCAGCCTGGAAGGAGGTGGTGGCCAGGGCGTTGGGCCAGTGGTCGAAGCGCTCCAGGCCATCTGCACAGGCCTTGGACTTCTTGGCATTGAAACTCAGGGTCCTTCGATCGTCCGACAGTTGCAGCAACGGGCTGACAGTCCTCTCGTCAATACGCACGTCCTCTGTGCCTGCCAGAAAGAATCCTCAGTTGCCCCAGGCCCACCCTCACCCCTAACCTGGTCCTACCAGTAGCAAAGGGCTTCCTCACCACACCCCTCACTGGCAGGGTGACCTCAGATAAGCCATTTACTCTGAGTCTCAATCTCCTCATCTGTAAAATGGGGATCAAAATAGGACTTATCACAGGGTGGTCATGAGGATCAAATGAGATGATACATGTCACGTGCCTAGCTTATAAGTGCTCAATAAATTGTGGCCATGATAACAGTTATTATTAGTCCAGGCCCCTCATTTGTAACCTCTGACAGAAATAAGGCCCAGAGAGGAGAAGTGAGTTGCCCAAGGTAACACACACAGTTGGTGGCAGGGTCAGTGTTTGTTCCTAGATCTGGCACTGATCATACTGCATTCTGGTGGGACATATCTGCAGCCTCAAGATCAGACTTGTCCTAGGGACGTGGCCCCTGGAGGTTAGGAAGCATCAGATAGTGCAGTTTCCAACCACTTGTGAATCAGATACTGATACCAGAATCTCAGCAGACACGCTGTAGCTTGTACCAGAATTGTAAGGATGACATGCAGTGGGGCAGGGTTAAAACAGAAAAATTCAGCCCATTAACCTAACGTTGGGGCCAGCCCAGTGGCGCAAGCGGTTAAGTGTGTGTGCTCCCCTGTTGGCGGCCTGGGTTCGGATCCTGGGTGCACACCGACACACTTGTCAAGCCATGCTGTGGCGGCGTCCCATATAAAGTAGAGGAAGATGGGCATGGATGTTAGACCCAGGGCCAATCTTCCTCAGCAAAAAGAGGAGGATTGGCAGATGTTAGCACAGGGCTGATCTCCTCACACACAAAAAAACAAAAAACAAAAAACCTAACGTTTCTGTGAATTGTGAAAAGGCCACACCTGGGAGTATGGAAGCTTCCATCCAGCTAGGGGGAAGCCTACTTTGGGAACCCCTGCACTAAGTGGAAATTCCATGTGACATTCACCTCTGCGGCCCCAGCATGCAGCACAAGGCCAGGCCCACAGTCGATCTGAGTCAATGTTAAGTGAATAAGTGAGGCAAATCCAGGCCCCTCATTTCTCGCTCCAGATGCTCTCCAGCTGGCCATCAATTATATCTTCTTAAAGAGAATTATACCTTCTTAAAGGTTTCCAAGAAATCATACTGAGCTGTCCCACTAGGGCAGCACATGAGGACATGATTTACAGGAACAAGATTTATCCGAGACCCAACCACAGAGCAGGTTGGTCTTGAAATGGGAAGGACCTGCCCAGCTGCCCCAGGCCTGTCCAGAACCCTGCCTCAACTGACAGGCCTGCATTCAGCACCACTGGTTGCTAAAGCCACCCTCCCAGATGCACCAGTGCCCAGTTTGACCCAGCAGCAAACCCCAGACAGACAGACAGACGCCCAGTTGCTCCAACTGGTGCTGGGCTCCAGCAGCTCCTCACCTGAGAGGGACCCGAGAGCCGCTGTCGCCCAGAGTTGAGTCAGTAGTGGGCTCAGAGTGCACTTCTCATTAAAGTTGAGCTTCTCTGACTCCTGGGGATCCAAAATGCCCTCCGCTTCCTCGGTCCTTGTGCAGGAAAAAAGACAGATTCAGGAAGGTTCTGGAAATGTATCTGGATCAATACAGGGTGATGGGAGGAGGAGAGATACAAAATCTTCCAACAAGAGTGACAACAAGATTGGCAGCCAGACCCCACATAAGAGCCCCTAAAGGGGGCTTGAGCCAAAAGGGAAGGTGGGCATTCTTCTTGTGCCCCCCACCCAGGAGCCTTAATTCAGCAAGACAGATGATTTACAGGGAGGTAAATACTTGGTGCCAGTATCAGAACTTGGAGTCGGTCTGCTCTGCGGGGGAAGGAACCCGCCAGTGTCTGTCAGTAAGTTAGCAGCAGAGCTGGGACTAGGACCTGGGCCTCCTGAAACCCTGTGCATCTTCCACTCCAACATCCTGCTCAGGAAAATCTTGCCTCCCTCCAAAACCTCTGCTCTTAAAATGCAAACACCCCTGAGGGATCACACAGCAAGGGACCATCAGTTACCACCCCAACTGTAAATCAGTCTTAGCACTTGGCTCCCAATAACTACCTCTCCTCAGCTAACAGGGGGCCTGGGGTTGGTTGAGGAGTTGGAATTGGGGAAAGTAAGTTGCCCAGGAGGGGAGAATCGCCATGGATTAAGCAGCCAGGCTGTGGGCTTGCTGTTTTCTATAGAGAATCTCACGTAATCTTTGCCATAACCTGGGAGGTGGTCGTTATCCCATTTGACAGGAGAGAACAGAGGTGCAGAGAAGGCATACGGCTAATAAAAAGGGGAGCTGGATTCAAGTCCTGCTTCCATGCAAAAACAGAACAAACCCAGCCTGGAGTCCGGGCATCATCCAACATCATTTTTCCTGTGACCTGAAGTGAAACGTCAAAGGGGTGTAGGTTAAAGTGAGGATTCCCCACAGAGCTTTGCAGACTTTAAACTGAGTTCTGAGAAAGAACTCGCCCACTGCCTGTAATCCTGAAGATGGTTGAGATCAGGCAGCGATTCTGAGAGCACACGCTCTCTTCCCCTTGTCTCCCGGCTCTGCCCATAAATAAGGAGGGGAGAGAGGAGGGGGCATGTCTCCTCGCGGATGTGAGCTCTGTGCAAGACTGTCACTGACTGCCCTGGCTTGGGAGGAACGAGGTGAACAGAGCCCTGGAAAAGCTGAGAGCAGGCTGGTAACAAAGGCTCTTTGTGGTCAGGACAAGAGAGGGTCTGTTGCCATCTTCTCAAAGCACTGAGGCTGGGTCTGGAGGAACCCCAGCCATCAGGTGGGGAGGAAAGAGGAGCCGAGGTTGGCAGTGCTAAGCCAACCCAGGGCAAACCTGAGGCCAACTGTAGACACTAGAGTCTAGAGAACCAGCTGGTCCTGCTGCCTCATTGTACAGAAAACTCGTGACCCCAAAGGAGTGGGAGAGAAATGGGGCTCGGACACAGCAGGGCCCTGGCTGGGATCAGAATGCCCAGTCTGTTGCTGTGGACATGGAAAGAACACTGGAGCTGACAAAGGCATTTCTCAGGCAAGTGAGTTCCCAGCTAGAAGGGGCTTGACAATTTTTTTTTTTTTGGTGAGGAAGATTGGCCCTGAGCTAACATCCATTGCCAATCTTCCTCTTTTTGCTGAGGAAGATTAGCCCTGAGCTAACATCTGTGCCCATCTTCCTTTATTTTTTGTGTGTGGGACGCCACCACAGCATGGCTTGATGAGCAGTGTATAGGTCCACACCCGGATCTGAACCTGTGAACTCCAGGCTGCTGAAGCGGAGCACACAAACAACCACTATGCCACCGGGCCAGCCCCAGGGGCTTGACAACTTTTGAACACGGTACTTTGAGAGTATACACCCTCAGTCTAAAGGCACAAAGAACTACAAACAACTCTTGAACTCTACTAGTAGATCTGTCAATAGTAATATGGGTTTAGCAATTCTCAAACAACTTTGCTTGTACTGTGGGATTGAACAAATGAATATTGCTGTTGTTGGGAGCTAGGGTTCATACTGTGAAAGAAGAAAGATACAAATATAGAATGGGGGAAGGCAAAGGAAAAACCCTGTGGTGTTTGACTGGAATTAGAAGTTGTAATACAGGAGCTGGCCTGGTGGCTTAGCAGTTAAGTTTATGCACTCCGCTTCGGTGGCCTGGAGTTCGCCGGTTTGGATCCTGGGCGTGGACCTATGCATCGCTCATCAAGCCATGGGGAGACGGTGTCCCACATAGAGCAACTAGAAGGATATACAACTATGACATACAACTATCTACCAGGGATTTGGGGAGAAAAAAGAAAAAAAGGAGGAAGATTGGCAACAGATGTTAGCTCAGGGCCAATCTAAAAAGTCTTGAAAAAAAAAAGCAGATTCCTATTAAAAAAAAAAAAGTTGTGATACAAACTCCTGCATAAAAAAGTTACACACACTCGCACACACTCACTTCATAGCTCTGTCCGCTGTCCACTGAGAGGCCTGGAAGCAAGGACACATCAGTAGCAATGAACACACCTAATGCCCAGATCTCAGTTTTTAAATACTATTCCCCACTAAAAGAACCAAGATTCCCTGGAGAAATAGCCGATTCCAGGGCTGAGGCAGGAAAAGAACAAGTTGAGCCTGGATATCTCATTGTTCCAGAAAGCAAGAAAGTGCTCAAAGAGTGATGGGGACCTGTCAAAAGGACACAGGATTCCACCTGAAGGGGCTCCTACTGGCCAAATCTGGGACAGTTTGAAGATCAAAATGAAAAGTAGTGGGCCCCACCAGTGGCATAGTGGTTAAGTTTGTGCACTCTGCTTCGGCGGCCCGGGGTTTGCAGGTTCAGATCCCAGGTGCAGACTGATGCACCGCTATCAAGCCATGCTGAGGCAGGCATCCCACAAATAAAGTAGAGGAGGATGGGCACAGATGTTAGCCCAGGGCTAATTCTCCTCAGCAAAAAGAGGAGGACTGGCAACAGATGTTAGCTCAGGGCTACTCTTCCTCACCAAAAAAAAAAAAAAAAAGAACAGTAGCAATAATATAATGCATTGAATAAAATTCATTGATATTCATTGATAAGAATCCATGAGTCTACACTGATACTAAACAATTAAATGAACAAATAAGCAAATAAATAAATGGATAATTCAGACAAGATTATTCATTATTCCTGCCTGAATTATTCATTTATTTATTTGCTTGTTGGTTCATTCACTTAGCATCAATGGATGCTAAAACTATTGGATGAAAGTCTGAAGGTAAACAGGCTATTTACACAGAAAGTATCTCCTTGGATTGCTTATTAATTATGAAAGGGAAGATGTAACATTATAATGAAGAAACCTGGTAGGCACCACTTTATCCAAGTGATCAAAATCCTGACAATGGGACAAAGCGATATCATGCGCCCCGATAGGACAGACTGAGGACACATCACTTAGGAGGCATTCCTGCCAAAAATGAGTAACCTGAATCTAATCATGAGGCAACATCAGATAAACCCAAATTGAGGGATGTTCTATAAAACAACTGGCTTAGACTCTTTAAAAGTGTTTAGGTAAAAAAAAAAAAGCCAAGGAACAATTCCAGATTAAAAGAGACCAGATGGACAAGGGGAAAAAAATGCAAACACTGTTAAGAACATTTTTAGCACAATTGGCAACATCTGAACGTGGACTGTATATTATAGTATTATATCAACATTAGATTTCCTGAATTTAATAATTACACTGTGGTTATGGAAGAGAATGTCTTTGTTCTTAGGAAATACATGCTGAAGTATTTAGGGATAAAAGGTCATGCTTTCTGCAACTTACACTCAACTAGGTCAGAAAAAACAAGCTTTTTATCTATAATTTCTTTTTTTTTTTTTTAATTTTATTTATTTATTTTTCCCCCCAAAGCCCCAGCAGATAGTTGTAGGTCATAGCTGCACATCCTTCTAGTTGCTGTGTGTGGGACGCGGCCCCAGCATGGCCGGAGAAGCGGCGCGTCGGTGCTCGCCCGGGATTGAACCCGGGTCGCCAGCAGCGGAGCGCGAGCACCCAACCGCTAAGCCATGGGGCCGGCCCTATATATACATTTCATAGACAGGAAGAAAGAGACAAAATGTGAGAGGGAGAGCAAATGTGGCAAAATGTTAACAATTAGTATTTCTAGGTGAAGTTCATTATACTATTTTTGCAACTTTTCTATAAGTTTGAAATATTTCCAAACAAAAAATTAGAGATCCAAAATTTTTACAAAAATCATATCAGCTTGATATTGAGGACAGACTGTATTAGAGGAAGACGACGAAGATAAAGGAGAAAGAGAAGATTAGCAGAAATGTGGAAAGATTATAAGAGGGAAAAAGGAGGAACAAGCCAAGCACACATTAAAACAAGACAATAAACTAAATTTGAGTGCGTACATACTATGGAATACTTCACAGACTTTCCAAAAAGTGAGGTAAATCTAAATGTACTGACATGGAAAGATTCCAAGATGGCCTGATAACTTACAGAACTGCAAGTATAAAATGATCCTATCTGCGGGCCGGCTTGGTGGCAGGTTGAGTTCACGCTCCGCTTCAGTGGCCCAAGGTTCGCAGGTGTAGATCCCAGGCATGGACCTATGCACTGCTTCTCAAGCCATGCTGTGGCGGCGTCCCACATATAAAGTAGAGGAAGATGGGTATAGATGTTAGCCCAGAGCCAATTTTCCTCAGCAAAAAGAGGAAGATTGGCAATAGATGTTAGCTCAGGGCTAACCTTCCTCACCAAAAAAAAAAAAAAAAAAAAATTCCCATCTGTGTTTAAAATCTTTTTTTTTAGGGCCGGCCCCGTGGCTTAGGGGTTAAGTGTGCACGCTCCGCTGCTGGCGGCCCGGGGTTCAGATCCTGGGCGCGCACCGACGCACCGCTTCTCCAGCCATGCTGAGGCCACGTCCCATGTACAGCAACTAGAAGGATGTGCATCTATGACATACAACTATCTACTGAGGCTTTAGGGGAAAAATATAAATAAATAAAATTATAAAAAAAAAACAACAACTTTTTTTTTAAAGAAGCAACAAAACCCCACATACTCTCCTATGACTATATATAGGTAAGTCCACAAGACACACATCTTTTTTTTTTTTTGCTGAGGAAGACCAGCCCTGAGCTAACATCTATTGCCAATCCTCCTCCCTTTTTTTTTTCCCTTTTTCTCCCCAAAGCCCCAGTAGATAGTTGTATGTCATAGTTGCACATCCTTCTAGTTGCTCTACGTGGGATGCTGCCTCAGCATGACCGGACCAGTGGTGCATCGGTGCGCGCCTAGGATCCGAAACCGGGCGGCCAGTAGCAGAGCGCGAGCACTTAACCGCTAAGCCACGGGGCCGGCCCCCACAAGACACACCTCTAAGTGTTAAAACTGATCACCTCTAGGGGAACAAGATTCAGAAGGGATGATGGACGCTCATTTTTAATTTTAAGTGGTTTTATATAGGTGGAATTTTTTTTTCCTCTCATGCACATGTATTGCTATTGAAGCTTCAATACAAAAATAAATAAGAAGAACGGATTGTGCTCCCCAAGTTCAGCTCTGAAATCTTGCACACAAGGTGTGACAATTTAATTTCTTTGCCTGGCAAATTACATCCTCTTAGCCACTTCCTCAGGCTCTTGGCACCCATCCTAGACCCAGGTAGGGCCTGGTGAAATTCATTTATTATTGCATAACTAAAATGCAAATTTTGAGTGTAATGAAGACTTAAGTTTCATAGATTCTTTCATCAGAGAAAGGGGTAGTGAGGTAGAGAATGCAGTACTGGGACAGGCGTCAGTGTGGGTCCACGTCCCAGCTCTGGGGCTCAGGCAAGTCCCTTCCCCTCTTTGAGTCTCAGCACTCTCCTCTGTAGATGAGGTGGTAAAACCCTCCGACAGGGTGACTGTACATTTTTTAATAGGCTAACATTTAAGAAAGCCCGTGGCGGGCCCCTGATTAATAAGTACGTCTTTCACTGCCCGTCCACATGGGTCTAAAGCAGTTCTCCAGGCTAGGGTCAGGAAGCCCCCAGTCCACTGAGCCTGGCTCCAGGGAGGCCACTCAGCTGCATGCCCTGTGGTTTCTCCCGGGAGCAGCAGGGCCTGAACGCAACGGACTAGGTGGAGGCCTAAGGGCCATGGTTTCGGTGACTGCCCAAGCAAATTATGGGGCCATACTCACCTCTCAAAAATCTCCTGCTCCTTCTGCTGTGAGAAAAGAAAACAGAGTCAGGCTTGGCACCAGAAACCCAGCAGGCAGTCAAGACTTGAATATATTCAAGTAGGGTGGAGGGCTCACACAGACTCTAGAATAAAAAAATTCCACTCCTTCTTTAAGACCCAACAAAGCTTTCTGGGTTCTTCTTCACATACCTCCCTCATCCCACACTCAGAATCACTCACTTTGTCCCTTGTGCCCCATGGCATCCTGACTCTCCCTCAACAACACTTCAGGACATTCACATATGTACCCAGCATTACACCCCCATCAAGACTGTCAGCTCCTAGATGGCTGGGACGCTTTCTGAATCTTCCATCGTGACTGTCCCCGTGTCTGGGCCACAATGTGCTCTCTACATGGAAGCTGTGTGACTAAATGAATGCACGATCTAGGGTGGTCATGGAAACTGCCCTACTTGAACTGCAGTGGGACGGCTCAGGTGTTCCACATTCTCACTTCTCTGCTTGGCATATTTACTCAGATGTCACACCATCCCCTTAAAACTGCAGGTATTTGCATATCTATGCAAAATACTTTGAAAGGATATGTGCCAAAATATTAATCATGGTAATTTCCGGGTGGTAGGATTAAGGATGAGCTCTATGTTTTCATACTGGACCCCATATCAGCTCCCCTGAGTGCAGTGTTCTTGCTGCATGATTCTGAACTCTCTCCACCTCCCCACTTCCTTTAACATAGCTGCCACTCTTATCTTTTAGGCATCAGCTTCTAAGTCACTTCATCCAGGAAGCCTTCCCTGACTACCACTCACCTCAGGCCCGGATTGTGGGGCCCTTAGCTCCTGGTGATGTGCTCTACCATTGGGCATATCCCTCCATATCCGCATTATCAGTTTATGTATTCATCTCCTCTCTAAGGCTGTGAGTCACTGACAGCTGCACCCCATGACTCCACCCCATAACACAATGCTCAGCACACAGTAGGCACTCAATAAATATTTGCTCACTATGGAAACAGTAGTCATCAGGTACAAAAAAAAATCTACATAATTTTATTCCCCTGCTTCATCCCTGCTCCAAATGATCATTTCCACCTACCTCCTACCAATAAACATTCTCGATGTTTTCAAACTTTTGAGGAGATGGGCCAACTGGTCACACCCTCACCCTTGCCTGACTTACAATCAGCTGGAGGTCATCCAGATGGGTGAGCATGTCCACCAGGCTGCTGCGGATGGCGTCGAGCTTCTGCAGCGCATCGGCCCAGTGCACTCGCTGTGTCAGGATGCTCTGGTGGGCCCGCTCCTCTTCGCCATGCACCTGCTCCAGCAAGCGCTGCTCCTCGCTCTCACACAGGCTCCTTACCAGGCCTAGCCGCTGGATGACCAGTTCCCGTGCTGCGCTGGCTGTGCTCTGTGAAGGGATAAAACGAGGAGTCAGGTCTGGCAAAGCCCCAGTCAAGGTTAGGAGGGTTTGGGCTCAGCAGGAAGGAGTGCCGAGATTGATTAGCAATGTCTGCCATAGGCACAGTAATGGGAGTAACAGTCCTTAAGCCATCTCAGCTCTAAGATTTCCCAAATGTGGTTTAGGGTAAAGACGTTTGAGATCCAGACATCCAGGCCATATCTCATGGAGCCAGGATCACAGAATGGAAGAGCTGGGAAGGGCTTAGAGATCAACTAGAATCACCTGCTTGTTTCACAGTTGGGAATCCCAAGGCCAAGGGACCAAGATCAGAAAACCATAGAATTGCAGAGCAGAAAGGCCTAAAAAGTCATTCCCATGAACAGGACAAACACCAACAGCAGTCTAGTTGATATTTTGACCATGTCTGAGGACAAAAAGCTCATTACTTCCTAAATCTGTCCATTCCATGGTAGAATTCTTATCTGTCACACAGGAGGCCTGAAATCAATTCTCAGTCAACGAAGTTAACATGTGTTTCCTACCAACAAGCACAATAGGTACTCAAACTGTGTGTATATGGCACACAGTAGGTACTCAAACATTTACTGAATGACTGAATGGGAAAGTTATTTCCAACTTAGTCAAAAATTTCTTGGTAGTGCTCACATGCCAAGTCAGTGGCGGAGCTGGGACTAGAACCCAGTTCTGTTGACTCTCAGTCCAACACTATTCCCCTACACCAATGCCATCTGCTAACCAGTCTCTCCCAAAGGCGTCTGTTGCATGAAGCACCTGCACTCTTGCCAGACAAGTGAGAGTAGAACTGTCTCCGTGCCAGAACGTCTCAGAGAGCCTGCAGCTTTCCCTGTGCCCTCTCCCTGAAGACCTGCTTTGTACAGTGCAGGGGATGATTATCCCATAATGTGCCCAGTGGGGAAGAGACAGTGGCTAAGTGAATGGCCAAGTGAGCCCAGGAGTTCAGCCTCCAACTTCAGTGTTCTCTTGAGGCAAAATAGCATAGTGGTCAGGAAATTAGGCTGTAGAGACAGTGCCCAGGTTTAAATCTTAGCTGTTCCACTTACCACTATCTGTGGAACTGTGCGCATGTTCCTTATCCTCCCTATGCCTCAGTTTTCCAATCTGTCTAATGAGGATAATAACAGTACCTACCTGACAAGGCTCTTGTAAGGATTAAATGAGTTAATACATTTAAAGGAAACAGAACCAAGCCCAGCACATAAGTGTTCAACAACACTAGCTATTGCCCTTCTCTCTATCCCACCTGGATGCCTTCCCCACGGGGCTGGGTCTCTGCAGCCAAGTTTGTACTGTGTGATCAGGATCAAGAACAGACCCTGACCCAAGAGGCATCACACTATCCTTGACTAGAAGACTGCAGTCAATTTCAACACATTTCTTGAGTCACTCCCATAAAAGAACAGCAGAGAAAAAAAGAAAACTTCTCTTTCCAAAGATATGACAGAATAAACTAAAAACCCTCCTAGAACAAAACACAGAAATGCTGGAAGAATAGCCCAAACATCCTTTTAAAAGTGTAGCTGCCCTGGCAGCTAATAAAGGAAATCCCCTGGAGTCCAAAAGTAGAAAGGAAACTGAAAAGCAGGGTAATCAAGAGCTGAGGATTCAACTGCGTGGCGTGGGGTTTGTGATTTACTTTAGAATTTTATACTCATCTAAACCATCATACCAAAATGGGAGCACAATAAAGACATCTCTAATCAAAAATGGAATATTTCCTATGAATGGGGGAATTTATTAAAAGATGTACCTTAACGAAAATAGTGGACAACAACATGCAAGACCAGGGGGGTTATTGGGCTAAAGCTTGCTCATGGTGCTTGTATTATGCAGGGTGACTCATTTTAGACATTGTTAAGTATTCATGTTAAAATTTTAAGGGAACCAAAAATAAACTATAAATAGAATATCTAACTTTCAGATTGGTATGGGGAAAAAGGGGGAAGAGGGGTTGATTAACACAAAAGAAAGCAGGAGAAGAAGAAAAAGCAGACTATATAGAAAACATAAAGTTTAAATGATAGCTATAAATCCAATATATCAGCCATCACAATAGTGATAAGTTGATTAAACTCCCTCATTAAAAGGCAGGGATTATCAGATTGGATTTTTTAAAAAGGAAACAAAATCCAGTTATAAGACACACCTAATAAATACATAAGAACATGGAAAAGTTGAAAGTAAAAGGAAAGAAAACAATATATCAGGAAAATATTTGCTGCTATAGTAATGAATAAAGGACAAAATAGACTTTAAGGCAAAAAAAGAATTCCTGGGCATAAAAGGTCATTATAAAGTGATAAAGGAATGGTTTACCAAAAATATATAACAAATCTAATTACACCCATTTAATAAATAGCACCAAAATATAAAAAGAATAATTGACAGAATTATGAGGAAGAATAGACAACTCTACAGCATGATATGAACATGTATCATATCATAAGGGCAAAGGTAAATGCCCTTTGCCAGTAATCAATAAATCTGGTAGATAAAAATCTAGTAAGTATAGAGACTTGAACCAATTAATAAGCTTAATTACTAAACATATATAGAACTCTATACATTTTTTTCAAGTGAATATGAAACATTCACCTAAATTGACCATATTTTAGGGCATGAAGCAAGTCTCAACGAATTTCAAACAACTGATATCATACATACTACCAATGCAGTTAAGTTAGCATTCAGCAAAAATAATAATAATGATAATAACTTGAAAAGTAAAACCATACATTTGGAGATTTAAAAATATATTTCTAATAATTCATAGTAAAAGAACAAATCATAGGGCCAGCCACAGTGGCCTAGTGGTTAAGTTAGGCATGCTCCGCTTCGGCGGCCCAGGTTCTTGGGCCCAGACCTACACCACTTGTCTGTCAGTGGACATGTTGTGGTTGTGGCTCACATATAAAAAAAAAAAAGAGGGGGGCTGGCCCGGTGGCGCAAGCGGTTGGGTGCGCGCTCTCCGCTGCGGCGGCCCGGGGTTCTCTGGTTCGGATCCCGGTCGTGCACCGATGCACTGCTTTGGCAGGCCATGCTGTGGCGGCGTCCCATATAAAGTGGAGGAGGATGGGCACGGATGTTAGCCCAGGGCCGTCTTC